GATGATGCCATTGGGTTCTTTGGTGCGGAATTTGAAGCTGATTGAACTCTGCTTGCCCGTCTCCCAAGGTGGCAGAACCTAAATATAAGATGAGATAAGATAAGATTAACATATTGAATAGCTCTTCTCTCTTCCGTGCACTTACCAAATGGGATTCGCGTGTGGTAAAGGTAACCGGATCTTGTGGATCGCCACTTGGACACTGATACTCCACGTTGCCCGCCACTTGAATCAACTTGGAGCCGGTCTTGGCCAGATCGATCAGATTCAGATTCAACGTATCCGCCGAGAACTCCACCTTGCGCAGACAGCCCACAAAGTTGTTGTGAACCCGGGCGCCCAACAAAGCTCGCGGATTTACGGCGCCGCCGACATAAACACGCGAGGAGGAGAGCATGGTGAACTTGCCAGCGATGTGAGAGTGATCCGTGTACACGTCATCCACAACAGTGACGAGCTGTGAAAGATGTGCTCATTAGATATTTGCTGAGTAGAGCACTCTCTGGTAGTACTCACTCGACAGAAGCTGGTTATGGACGAGATTTCCTGAATGCGACGATGGACGGTGACCTTGTGCCACTGATGATCATCGAAGCGCACCTTGGCTGGTTTGATGTGCATCTCCTGCTTCCCGTTGGCCAGGCCCATAGTCAGCGAAACGCCGCCGTCGCGCAGCGCCAGATTCAGGTAGTCAGTGCCGTGTCCCGTATAGAAGAGTAGTCCGTTCGGCTGGCGGGTGCGAAAGTAGAACGAAATCGCATCCTGGGCACTGACAATGGGCTCAGCGCCTGTCTGGCCCAAGTCGTACGAGAGGAACTGTGTACCGCGGAACGTTGCCTCCGATGGCGCCTTCTCCTTCTCACAGTACTGGCCATCGTATTCCAGATTGCGACACTCGCATATCGGGCCAGAGTCAGTTGATATACATATGCCTCCATGTTGGCAGGGGTCGTTGCGTTCGCACGCGTCTGTCGTATTCCCTCGAACGCCCTAAGAAATTAGATTAGCATGCTACTTAAGAGGTCGTTCCCAGATAGAAAAGTTAGCTTTAGAGGTTTTGTAATATGAGATTTATTTATCGTCTACAGATTCTGTTAATTCCGTTTAGATATTCATCGGTCTGCTTGTCGTTCCACAAGATCAGTTTTCTATTCTATGTGTGTCTCCTTGCCTGTCCGTAACTTGTCCGTCTGCCTGTCTGTTCGTCTGTCATCTAACTTTCTGTTATCCTTTTTATGCCTGTCTGCTCTGTTAAACTCTAAATCACTTACCCTCAATCCTCTCTCGCGGGTAGGCATCTCGCCATGGTCACAGGGCGCATCGCCGCACTTGATGTCGCGCGGCTGCTTCATCTCCTGCCTTCGGGTGGTGCCACCAGGCTGATCCGCATAGACGAGATTTCGAATGGCGCCTCGGAAACGTGGCTCGAAGATGACGCTGGGCAGAGCGAGCAAGGCGAGCTTACTACTATACCAATTGGGCATGCCGCCCACATAGACATCCGAGTTGCTTGCGAATTTGCCGAACTGGAACTCCTTGCCCTTGGTGGTACGCTGCTGGGAGACCCCGTCCACAATGAGCGAGGTCTGGTCGTCATTGCGCAGCACTTGAACCTTGTGCCAGTGTCCGTCGTGCAGCTCGCGTCCCACTGTTATGATCTGCGCTCCGCCGCCTAGGTTGTAGCGCAGTCGGAGTGCACCCTCGACAAGCTTCAGCTCGAAGAAGTCATAGGTGCCGCCATCATCTGTATAAAGGACGAGGCCATTCGGCTGCTCCGTCTTGAACTCCAGCTCCAAAGTGCCATTCAGGCCAGTATACCATTTGCGAAAGGTGTAGAACGAATTCTGCGAGCCGTCCAGCTGAAAGCCAGCGCTAATCGTTATGAAGCTGGTCACCAGGCTAACCAGGAGCGCCGTCACGATCAGCACTCGGTATGAGCGACGATGTTCGACCATTACAAGCGGCCGTTGGCAAGGACGAGGCTGAGCACCTGGCTGTGGACGTGGACTGAGCTGCGAGTGCCGTTCATCCAGTTCTCTTCGACGTCGACGCGCCTTGTTAAACAGCAAGTCGGAGGTGGAGGAGCAGGCCTTAATGGGCGCGGGTAGCAATCGCGTGCTACTATTATTTCTATTGTTGTTGTTAGTAGTATTATTATTATTATTATTATTTTCTAGTTGCGACAGTAGCTCCTCAGCGGCGTCCATTTTGCGGGCGTAATCAATGCTGTGGTCTGTCATTGTCTCAAGTGCATAGTCTGTGTGAGGATGATGATGGTGTGTGTATGTATATATATTTAAGCTTTGATATGTTGCACTTGGCGCGCGCTCATTCACACACACGCACACACTCACACACTGTAGCACTAACACTAGCACACTAACACACTAGCACACTTACACACACGGACACACAGAGTTGCGCGCGTAAAACGTAAATGTCGCCTTGCTCTGCGCTGCGCTGCGCGTATACACGTTGTATTCCAGTCCTTGAGAGTCAGCTTTCCTGCTTCTGCTTCTGTTTCTGTTTCTGCTTCTGCTTTGTGTTTGTCCTTGTATTGGTGTGTACTATTACTATGGGAGGCCGAAACGCATTGGAATTTTATCCGCGCTTCGAACTTTCATTGAACTTTTTCCAGTTGCAAAGAGCGACAGATAGAGTGAGCGAGAGAGAGAGAGAGAGGGAGAGAGTGAAAAGCTCGTCGCGCGCAATGTTGGCTGCGGCTGTTACTCAACTGTTACTGAACTGTTACCGACACTTAGAATTCACTTGAATTGATGTTTTTTACTCTTTGATTGTGTTGTTCTTTGAGTTTTGGGCATTTTGTACACTTCATTTGCATATGGGTTAACAAATTACTAACAAGCGTGCACATTTCTCTATTATTTCGACAGTTTATTCGTGTTCGAGGGCCGTTAGCAGCAGCAGCAGCAGCCTAATTTGTGGCTAGGCGTAGGGGTGGAAAAAGCTCGCCGGACACCCCCTCCACCCGTTTTAACAACTATGGCGCCCACAAGCGCCTCAACGTACATGTACATACTAAAAATCGGAAAATTTTCACTATACGTAGGCGAAAATTTCGAATGCCAAGCTTTGCTTGGGAGCACTATGAACGATTTCAACAATTATTTTATATCAATCAGTGCTTATCTGATTATATTTTCACTATTGATTTTGGCTTTGAACTGATTTATGGTTCAAACACTACATTTGCTTACACAACGGTCCAGCACACACTCGCTCGCATTTTTTTTTTCTTCCCACAGTTTTCAACAATTTAAATTTCACTTTGGGGATACTGATTTAGAATTAATGATAAGGAATCTGGACTTTTTCCCGAAACGGGATTACAAAAATTATATGTCGAATTTTCCGCCCAATTCAGCTTCCCACTGCTTCAGGTTTTAATATCGATCTGCGCTGCATTCACGACAAGACTGAACTGCAATTTCAAACTCAATTCCTTCACAGCGTTTCCAATGGATAACAAAAGCTCCGACTGCGAATTTACTGCTTGCCAGCTGACGGCATAGGAAACATTTCGTATACGCTACATCCGTGCTGTAATGCACACAAATTACATTTAATATTCTTGGATACTATTTTCTTTATTTTATAATGTAAATGCGCACTTTTTAATGACTAAAACAGTTGCCTTAACTTAGCAACAATCAACTTTTGGCTGCACTTCCATTCGCCCCGAGCAGTAGACTACGAATTAGCCTTGTCTGTTGTGTGTAGGGCATCAGAATGCCAAAAATTAAAAGCTTGCTTGCTTGGACGAGCCGTGCATATGCGTACTACTAACATACATATATGAGCACACACACACACATACAAACGCGCACATACATACACTCACACATGCGTAATGAGTGCAGAACACGCAGGTTCATAACCTGCACCACTCGAAGCGTATTAGAAGGGACAGAATATACACATGCATATACTTATATACATATATCTGTATATACATAGATATGCACATACATACATATATACTGATACAGGGACGTCTAGGACGACCCGTGTAAATGCCTTGACATTTATTACACACTTCACAACTTCGACAGTTCGGCGTCAAATTCGATTTGCATTTGCAGCTGTGCATAACTTAATGTGTATGTATGTGCATCTGCCTGTGTGCCTATGTGTGTGTGTAGGATATTTTCGACCGCACGCGTTAGTGTAAATGGGAGCTGTTAGGTTAAGCGCATATAATATGCAATTTCACACGACTCTTCCAAGGCCGCCGCAGTTCCTTGGTACATATGTGTGTGCGTGTGTGCTCGCGCATGTAAGAATATGCATCATTATTAACGTCACTCTATACACAAATCACGCACTAACCATTACGCATTATTACGCAGGATATTTTCAGAATTTAATTATAAGATTTTTTCCATTTAGCGAGCAATGTTAAGTTGAGTCTCGCACATGAAAACGCGCTGCCCGTTTTGACTGCAGCAACGTGATGCAGCGACTGCTGAGGAATGCCTAGCAAGAAGCTTTGAAACATTTTCATACACAGGGTATTTCATATGGTTACGGCCACAGCTGAGTACGCTTTAAGAATTTGAATGTCCCTAATAAGAAAAGGGAATAATGGAATTTTTAGCTCGGTGCACATAAATAATTTGTTAGCATACTTTTACTTCGTGGATTACAAGGACATAATAATTATTTAAAATGTTGCATAGTTCTGAGGATGTCAATTAATACGCAAATCTAAATGTTAAATAACAGAATTTTAAACGTTAGGTTCAAATAGTAACAAGATATGTATTGTTTTATGGTAGAGTGCCAGCAATTAGTAAAATAATAATATTAATCATTTTATATTATTTGTTTATTTATTTATTCTATTGGTGTAGAGCTTACCAACAAATAGTAAAACAAACATTTTAAAATTGACCTATGTTAATAACAGCTCTAGTTGATAGCAGCAGTGTTGTAAAAGTAAGGCAGCAACAGCTGAACAACAGCTTGCCACCCTTCACTGCTGCCCGCTCTCCTAAAAGTCGATTGTTGTGTTCCTGACGTTTACAGCTGTGCGATTAATTTGAGATTTATTATCGAACACTTTACAAGGCAGGTGTATAGCTGTATGTGTGTGTTTATTAACACAAGCAACAGGCAATCGCGCTGATTTAAAGAGTACTCGACAGAGACAATTTGACTAACGCTTATTCCACTGATAACAGCTCAATTACGTAATGATCGTAGGCACTCGACTTAGCCGTCTGGCGGCCGGTCGCCTCTTGCCTGGAATGGCCAGCAGATGCGCCCACACGGAGCGCAAGGTGCAGGTGCCCGATACGGGTGACTTGCACATTGTCGAAAGTGGCAGCGGCTCGCGCAGCTTGCTCTTAATGCCGGGCGCCTTAGGCTCCGCCTGGACGGATTTTAAGCCACAGATCGAACAGCTGCCCAAACTGTTACCAGATCATACGATCATTGCTTGGGATCCGCCTGGCTATGGCAAATCAGTGCCACCGCAAAGGAAGTTTGGGCTGGACTTCTTTCGCGAGGATGCTGAGGCAGCTGTCAAGCTAATGCGCGCACTGAACAGACCCAAGTTCTCAGTCTTAGGTTGGAGCGATGGTGGCATAACTGCGCTGATCCTCGCCGGCCGGCACGCCGATGCTGTGGAGAAGCTCGCCATATGGGGTGCCGGTGCGTATCTAAACAAAGATGAGGTGCAGTCACTACAAGCAATACGCGACGTGGCCAAATGGTCGCCACGCATGCGAGAGCCCATGGAGAAGGTCTACGGCGTGGAGCGTTTCGCCCAACTATGGGGCGAGTGGGTCGATGCCGCCTGCGAGTTCTACAAGCAACGCGATGGCGACTTCTGTCGCAGCGAAGTGGAGCAAGTCAAGGCGCCCGTCTTCATATTGCACGGCAAAAAGGATCCAATGATTGCCCCCGAGCATGTGCCCTGGCTAAAGCAGCGGCTGCCCAACGCACTTTACCACGAGTTCCCCGACGGCAAACACAATATACATCTGCGCTACGCCGAGGAGTTCAACAAGCTGGTCGCCGACTTCTTCAGGGGCAAGGAATAGGACATAGTTTACTTTGTTTTGCTTATGAACAAATAGGTATAAAGATTTATTGATTCATGATTTACAGAGAACAAGAGTGTGTTGCTTATTTGCCCAGCTGGGCACGGATGGTGGGCACGTAGTCGTCGTACTGAGCCTGGAAGAAGTTGCCGGCCACAGGAATGCCGAAGTTGTACTTGGCCACATAGTCGCGGATCTTCACATTGAGGCGACCCTCCAGAGTGCTGGAAAATAACAAAATTTCGTATTATTTACGCCTAATGGAAGCCGGAAGTGGGCTGTAGATCCGCTTACGTCTTGTTGATGAACTTGTCGCTGGTGATCTTGTCGTTCTGCTTGAAGACGAAGAAGACATAGCGATGCAGACCGCTGCCCTCAGATGGGCCGGCGCCCACATACTCGGCGAGCACCTGACCATTGGCGACGTTGTTGCCGGGAATGTTGATCACGGCCCAGTGGAGCACCTCGCGCATCTTGGGGTCGCTGCGGCTGGGTGCATCAGGATCGACCATGAGGAGAGTGTACAGGGCGCCAGCTTCGGCATCCCAGCTAACGGTGGGCTGATCCTTCACCTGTGTGGGCGTGAGCTCCTTGCCGAGATCGACCTGAGCACCGGATGGGTAGGTGATGGTAACACGAGCCTTTGGCTTGTCGTCGATGATGTCGGGAATGATACCGCTGGTGTCCATGTTGCTCTTGCTGCTGGTTATGCTCTGTCTGGCGTTAACGCAGTGACTCTGCCTGCCAATGACAATGCGTGCGCTATTTATCGATCCCGGCAAAGTCGACGTGTGGCTAGCCGTAATCAGCCTTTCATTTTCGTGCATTTTTTTTTTTTTTTTGCCCAAATGCGCTCTAGATAAAGATAAAGATAAAGACGAGTCGGGTCGAGTCGACTGACTTGGCCAGCTGATAGCAGCGGCGATAAGTGCAACAAATGCTTCAATTTATTGACAAGGATGACTACAACGACAAACTTTGAACACCTGCTCAGCCAGCGAACTCCTTGTTCCGTATGGGCACATAGTCATCATACTGCGCCTCGTAGAAGCAGCCAGCTATGGGCTTGCCCAGGCCATGTTTGCCAGCAAAGGTCCGGGCACTAAAGTTGAAACGACCTTCGCGGGTGCTGCGATTGAATATACCCGGTTATATAATTATTGAATTTAATCTATATATATATGTACGTTTACCGCTTATCTATGTGCAGCGTCTCCTCAATCCCCTTGCTCTGGCGATAGAGCAGAAATATATAGCGATGCAGGCCGGTGCCCTCTGGCGGGCCGGAGCCAATGTATTCCGCCAGAGTTTGACCCTTGCTCAGCTGATTGCCGGGTATGTTGACAACGGCCCAGTGCAAGATCTCCCGGAACTTGGGCTCCTTGCGACTGGGTGCATCGGGATCGACCATTAGCAGCGTGTGCAGCTGTCCCTCTTCGCCCTCGGGCGTGTCCCACGAGACTTGAGGCTCATCTTTGACCTGCAAGGGCGTCAGCTCGTTGCCCTCCTTGACAACCAGATCGGCTGCATAGGTGACCTTCAGCTTGTCCTTCGGTGGCGCCTCATCCACCACATCGGGAACCAGAGCATTCATTTTTGGCCTTCTTTAGCTGGAATTGCAGTTAACTTGGTTTCCGTTGTTATCAATGCTGTTAAATTGTAGTTCGATTTGATGATTCAGTCTAGAGATAAGGCGCAACTCCTTATGAGTACATATGCATGTGTATTTGTGTTTGTATGTATCTGTGTGTGTGTATTCCTATCACATATATATTCTAATTAATTAATATCTTACCGTAAACGAACTGAAATCTAATTTCGAAGGCCCGGTGACTACTATAAATAACAATAACTATTGTCTCCGTATAAATCAAAAATGAACTTTGGTCAACGAAAGTTTTCCATTTATTGTGTAAAGAGCCAAACGCCAAGCACCAAGCGCGCACACTCTATCTAATTAGACCCTAAACCACATGCAAAGCGAGTTGATAGGGTATATTGCTTTTGCTGTGATGCATGAGGCCATAGTATACATACATAGATACATATGTACATATATGGTTTGATTATCCGATCTATCGATTGTGTAACCGATAGTCGATCTATGCGATTGAAAATAGATTGTTACCTTCCTCTGTACTGCTACTTCATCATAGGGTATTTGATATTCGGGTATGCCCAGCACAGCAGTTCTTATGTACATAATAATTTTAAAGGCCAGTTAAAGATATCAGTGCACGTATACAACCACAAAGTATCCTCACTCACTCATATGCACACACACAGTCATACGATATGCCATTTGTGTGCGTTTATCAGCGAATCGTTAATTAACTTCAGCTGGGCATAGTCTATATATGTATATAAATTATAAGTCCAGTTGTGGCACATAACTAAACATTTATTATGTGTCCGAAGAGGCGAGCTATGTATATCTTTAAAATTAGTCATAGTAGAGGCGGCTAGTTATTCATTATTTTGATTATATGTATATGTATGCAATTTATTTATTAAACAATTCGAATAGTATTAACACTTTGAATATTAATATCAATTAGCGTTGACTGACAGGTTTGCTCTACATTAAATGTTCATAAAAAAGAGAAACTTTTAATATAATAATACAAATCATAGTTGGGAGCAGCAAAAGAACATATGAGAGTGAGATTTGAGACGCGCGCCAGGGCGTGTTGTAAACGATAGGATTATAATTGTAATGATGTGTAAATAATAATAATAATA